TTTGGGCTCATAGGCTATTGTGGTCTCTGTCATACTCCACTTTGTTGAGCCTGACTGTGCTCTACCAAAACTTTATAAAAACAGGAGCAGTAGCTTGCCAACTCCTGCCTTAGAGGACAGAGTAGAAGGGTTACTATGATGAGAAGGAAGAAATCCTCATTCTGTGTCTCTTGAGAGGTGTAGAACTAGCTCATCAGATGAGCTAGTTTACAGTCAGCTTTTAGCTGGGTTTTTACATGGAAAACTTAGTGATTTAAAGAGCTCACCTTGCTGAGAAGCTTACAGGCAGAGGATGAGGGAAGGTAAAGGATGCTCTCAGAAAGAAATCCTGTGGTGAGTGGTGGGAGGTTGGAAAACATGAAAGAAGATTCTTCCTAACTCAGAGGATTCTAAAGTTCTAAGACATTCAAATGTCATGTTTGCAAACCTTTAATGTTCCCCAGCTACATGACTGATGAACTACTGTGCTATTTTCCTCTTACTTGATTCTGTTGCTTGGATCTTCCAGGAGCACCTGTATTTGGTAGGAGATGCCAGGTATGGAAATCAATATGTCAGGGGTGAGGGCGGAGATTGGGTCCCTGTCATAGCTCAACCAGGCAGGAGGGTTTTAGCTGCATGGCTTATTCATGGTTTCTGAATTGCTTTCTATCTTTGGTCATGATTTCAGAGTCTTCTTAAAATGTAACTCTAATGAGAACCTGATCTTTCTTGGTAAATACTCAGTAAGGTTCAGTGAGAGTCTGTTTCCTTCTTTCCTCACTAATAACCTGACCAGAGTCTTTAGATTATAATCTTTCCTTTGAATAGAAGTCTTGCTCTGCCTGATAACAGAGGCTTATAACCCTATCTACTCTGTAGGCTGAGGCAGGGAGATTAAGTTCAAGGTCTGCTTTGGCTAGAGGCTGAGTTCAAGGCTATCCTGCGTAACTTTGAAAAGGCTGTCTCACAAAACAAAATAGGGCTGGGGATGCAGCTTAGTGGTACACTAATAGTTCTCTAGTAAGTGGGACACCCTAGGTTCACTCCCTATCACACACACACACACACACACACACACACACACACACACACACGCACAGAGGAAAGCATACACACACCATATAATATTAATACCATGGTAGAAGAGAACCGACTGCTCAAAGTTGGGCCCTGACTTCCACATGTACTCCTTAATGCATAGGTTCACTCCCTATCACACACACACACACACACACACACACACACAGACACACACACACACACACACGCACAGAGGCAAGCATGCACACACCTTATCATTTTAATACTAGCAACTCAGGACAGTTCATCGTCATCATGAAGCGAGTGGAACTGGTAGATGATAATGAGGAAGGAACATTTTTCTGAGAAAAGGTAGCTTGGCTTTGCCTTAGAGTTATTTTAGTTTAGATGACCTCTTTGTTTGACTTTTCACAATAAGAACAGTCTTCCCTGAAATTATACGTTCCTTAAAGTAGATGCCTGCCACTGGATGCTCCAAGAAAAGAGCTTTTATTATTTTTTTAAAGAGATGATAGGGGAGCCCCATATGAATCTTTGAATCCTCAGCTGTGAGAGGCAGCTAAACCACAGTTACACAGACATTTAGAAGCTAGACACATATCTTCCACTTAAGTTAACAGGGGCCCAGTGGTTGAGTCAGCATATTGGGAAGGCAAAATTCTCCACTGGGCATGTGCCTGGCCTGAGGAACCAATCCCACTGCTGGGGAGCCCCCTCCCCTTCAGAAATGTCTCAGCAGGGTTTTAATGAGGCACATGGGGGTCAAGAGCATTTCACTCAAGGGCAGGTGCATGTGAGAAGTGACATTTGACATATAAGCAGAGTTCACACCAAGCCAGATAGGAATCAGACCTCACCATCTTCCCTCATTTGTGGACTTTCACTCTCTGCTCTTGGCTCAGCTCTCCTGAAACTCCAAAATTAAAGACAATTTCCATGAACACAATAAACTGTGAATGTTAGTACTGATGGCAAGACATATCCCTACTCTAAAAACAGTTCACTGGATGAACTGCTGAGGAAACACGAACTCTTCAGCATGCACGCCAAGGGATGGAGGTGCATCTAGGGCCCAATCCAATCTGTCGATCTTCGTGAGGTGAAGAGGCAGCCGGATTCAAATCCTGCCTCTGTATTTTTTGTGTGGTTTTTGGCCAACAGACTGAACTGTTCGATTTCTTCATCTGTTATGTGGAGTTAATGAGGAAGAACAGGGTCTGGCAGAGGGGAGGCCCTTTGTCAGCACTTGCTAGCCACGCAGACTGCCAAGCAAGCCCACAGAGCCTTTATATGTGTCTGGCTGCATCCGAGAGGCCTATGGCCTTGGACAGTTAAGCCATGTGTGGACCAGACTCTGCAGAGCTCAAGTCTAGGACTTTTGCAGATTGGAGGTGAGGATTCTGTTTCATAGACTGCTTAAAATGAGGATGGATGTAGAGGGATTGCTGCCGTCTTAATTTTCCTTTTAATTTTCTAAATAGATGAATTCTATTGGTGAGTGAATTCTAAAGTTGGCTGTGGCTTTATGAGATAGTTGGCTCTCAAGTTCCTTTCTATTTTTGATCATTTGGCCTAGCCTTAGTTTCTTTTTTCTTTCCTTCCTTCCTTCCTTCCTTCCTTCCTTCCTTCCTTCTTTCTTTCTTTCTTTCTTTCTTTCTTTTTTTTAGAGTGAAATAAAGGACTAGCCTGTGACATCAGGGCCAGGTCACAGAATTGGACAGAATTGGGTGCTACTACACAGCACATTCTTATGTGGTTGCTGGGAACCAAGCACAGACGCTGGTCATTACTGAGATTCACAGGTGAGCGGAGACCACATGTTGAAATTTTTTTTTTTTTTTTAAATCTAGGCTATGTCTCCAATTTACAATGTGAGAAGCAGCATTTTACCTCAATGCATGCATTTGTGAAGCCTGTAACTAAGCCGGGAATGAAAGAATGTGTACCACTACATCCAACATAAGAAATCCACCAAGCATGTCGGAATACCGAAGTGACCGGTTTACAGAGCAGCTTTTGTGAAAGTCATTCATGAATATCTTGCCTGTGGGTTCAAAAGCGGGTGACATGGTGAAAAATCCAATCACTTCGCATTGTGGGAAACAACAAGTCTGCATAGATCGGCCATCCAGGGATCCTTCTTTAGACACACAGGAATGGCTGTATTCAGCTTAATAGGAACCATGTGTTACAATCAAAACAACATCTGACCTGCATGCTTCAAATAGTATGTATGCTTCTCAAGGGGTCTATTCAACCAGACAGCTGTTGGGAGGTTTGTTCCCACATTTTAAATTTGTCTCTGGCCTGCCTGGATAAATTGCTCACGTTTTACTGTTTCTCTGAATATTGTTTTTTCACGCTTTTACCTCCTCAGCTGAAATATTTGGGTCCTAGTTTCAACCCCCAAATGCTTTTAAGATGAGGTCAAGCCAAATTGATTTGACTTTTTGGGGGATGCTATTTTAGAGCAGAAATTCAAGTAATTTGTTTTTAAAGATTAGGTTACTCTGGAGTGACTGAAAATCCATGGGATGCAATGATTTCTCTGTTTAAAACAGAATAAAGAACACTTTCTTTTGACTTGAGGACATTTGCTTTACTTCCTCAACATATTCTCAGGTTTGACTTTGCTGCACATTGTTGATGCAAAATGAAAAAAGTACTTAATGATTTTAATTCTGAATTTCCCCAAAAGGACCAATTCAGTGAGAAACCAAAGCAGAACATGGTGGTGCGGAGACTTGATTTTGGAGTCAGACACTGCTGCGGTCAAAAAGTTTCTATGCCACCAGTAAAAAGGTTCTGGGAAAATGATAGATTTAATTTCCTTTACAAAACATAGAAGCCCTATATGAATGGATTAAATGAGATAATAGAGTAAAATATACAATTCAGCTTCTGGACAACAGTAAGTCCTCAATGGAGTACAAGCTGGGTATTCCTTACCCACAATGCTTAGGACCAGGAGTGTTTGTTTGAGACGTTGAATTTGGGGTTTTCTTTGTTAATTTTGGAATATCTTCATAGACTTTTATGGTTAATTAGAAAATATGAAATCCATAATCTTCTGAAATCTAAAACTTTTGACCATCATAATGGAACTCAAACAATTTAGACTTTATAAATATGGTTCATGCCTAAAATCCTAGCACTTGGAAAGCAGAGGCAGGAGAATCAGGACTTCAAGGAAAGGTTTGACTGCATACAAAGTTCTAGGCTAGCTACAGGAAACCCTGTCTCTAAAAACAAACAAAAAAAATGGAGTATTATCAATTTCAGATACTTAGTCACACTAAGGATCCTCCTTCCCTTCCTCTCTCTCTCCCTTGCCTTCTTCCCTCCTTTCCTTTCTCTCTCTCTCTCTCTCCCCTCCCTCCCTCCCTGTTGCCTTTCTTTTCTTTCTGTGCGAGGACCCGAACCTAAGACTTGGCATATGGTGTAGAACTTCTCTATACTGAGCTACACACCTAGTATCATTAGCCTCATTTCAAAACTGCTGCCCCAGTCTTGTTCATACAAAGACACTCCCCAACCCTGTCTCCTGTACTCCATCACCAAATGAACCTGTCTGAAAATGATTGCACCTCTGACAGGCACTTGAAAGAAAATGTGATTAGAAAGAACCAGAAGACACTTGGTATGGACCCGCCTGTCTTTTCCTCAATCTCTTAAAATTATTTATTTATTCATTTATTTGTATTTTATGTGTATGAGTGTTTGACCTGCATGAATGTAAGTGCACCACGTGTATGCAATGTTCACAGAGGTCAGAAGAGAGGGTCGAATCCTCTGGAACTGGAGTTATGGATGGTTGTGAGCTGCGATATGGGTGCTGGAAACTCAACCTGGGTCCTCTGGAAGAGTAACCAGTGCTCTTAACCACTCAGTCATGTCTCTAAACCTTGAGATTGTTTTAAAGCTGTGAATACGAGCTGCTTCTGTTAGTACGGTGATAGCAAGGTGTGCACACCTACCTTTTTCCTTTGGAAGTTCACATCAAGTTTCATTGAGGCACACTTGTTCAATGTATTAAGTCGTCTGAAAAGAAAGAAAAATGAGATGATTTACTACCACTAATGAACCTAAATCTTCTTTCAAGTTTAATAATCTCTCTTTATTTCCAGTAAATTTGAAAGTGCAGAAAAGGTGAATTATGTCCCAAGATAGCACTGTATCACCAGAGACCAAGCTATAAAATAATTTAAAGGAGTTTCAATGTGTGCTCCGGCCTCCTGCTCAAAGAACCTACTAATCCCCAGTCCTTTTTCTGGTCTAAACTTAGATCTTTTCTGGCTTCTCTTTCCACCTTCCTTAGAAACAATTCCAATTATTTTAGCTATATGTTCACCAGCCCCTTGACTCCTTAACCACCTTGACCTTCCTTCAGGTCTATCCTGTCATGGGTCCCCTCAACCATGTATTTTTTTCTCCTGTTTTGCCACAGTGAGTATATGTAGGCAAATAATTCATACTACAGTGTTGAATTAAACATGCTGTGGCTTCCCACAAACTTCCATGTTGATACCTTAGCCTCAGAGTGACTGAATTTGGAATAAGGATAGCACTAAAGGCAAAGGAGGAGTCCTGACCCCACAGGATTGGGGAACCTGTAAGAACAGACATCAGAGTATGCATGCTCTCTCCCTCCTACTTCAGGACTTGGGAGAAGGTGACTTTCTCTGCAAGGAAGGAGTTCACCAAGAACCAAGTCCTGCCAGTATCTTGATCTTGGAGCTTCCAGCCTTTCAAATTGTAAGAAAATAAATGCCTATTGTTAAAGCTCTCCAATCTGCAGTATTCTGCATCATCAATCCATGTCAACTCATAAATATATTTTGATTTTAACCCTCAGCTGGACTCTCATAATTGCTACCCAGCAGAATTCCTTCCATCTTTCCCCCCTCTGGCTCCCAGTATCAGACTATCAAAGATTCAGTTCCACAACTGATGACTTAGCCACTGTGCCAGTTTAAGTTGATTTAAAAAAAAGCTCTAGACATGAATTCTTTTAATCATAAATGATGTCCTCTGCTGTTCTTTTCTACTGCTTTACAGGTAAACATCGTCCTTTTTTTTTTTTTTTCCAAAGGAAACTCTTTAATCTTGTTTTTTATTTCAGTATTCACTGTGTTATCTGAGACTTTGCTATTTATTCCCCCTCACCGCCACAAATTCTCTCAATTGCTTTCTTCTCTTGAAGTCTATTCCGTCTTGAAAAAAATTGATGGATTTAGTGATTTAAAGACACATAAGCAAGTAAGCGATTGCTGTCATCCCCCAATCCTTCCTTTCCACCAACTGTTTATATGAACTGTCTCAACATTCCTCTTCTTTTTATTACTTAACTTGCTCAGAACATTCTAAAATTTCACTCTTCAATCCTCTCCAGCCTTACTACCATGAATTCTCTTTGCAATTACCTTTATTATTTTATGTTGTTTGATTTTTTAAAAAAAAATATGTATATGTTATAAAGAGCCACATATTACTCTTTAAATCCTGTGGCTTTCTATTCTTTGGAGACAATTATTTTAACTCTTTCTTTTGTCTTTTGTTTCTAAAACCATTTTTATGCTGTTACTTCATGAACTTCCAGTTTAGGTAATTAACTACTGAATTTGTTCATTGGAAGTTGAAGACTCATTTTCTTTCAATCTCTATCCTCACCCCTCCATCATTTGCCATGTCCAAATATAGTTGTGTCATAATATCATACATATATATTGCACAGACATAAATATTTGATGTTTATTTTGACCATACAAATTCGGCTCCCATGTGTATTATATTTGAATAATTTTATTTTCATTCCTAACTTTCCGTTTCTCTAGAGTTAGTTTCTTAATGTTCTTATTCCAAACATTTCCCCAATTACCTAAATCCTATCAGATGGTCTATCAATTTAATTTCCTTGGACATATGTCTATCCGAGTCTTTTGACCTGTTCCAGTAGGGATTTACTGCTCTCATTTTGATTTTATCATAAGCTGATCACATTTCTCAGAATTGAGTCTCCTGTTGGGCATGTTTTCTACTGTTCTGGAGCTGAGTAATGGAAAAGGCCTGGGGATGTTGACATTCAAAATGTAGGTAGACTGTCATATAGGTCCCTGCTTCCAATAGAGTCCCCTACCTTTAAGGTGCCTGATGTACCTCCGTCTCTGGGTATCAACTTTCAGTCTCTTGCTGATGGTGAGGGAGATACACTACCAGGTGTAGGCTAGAGTTGTAGATCAAGGTCTCTACCCACTTTACAACATAATTTTAAGCAACTCTCAGCAATTCCTTTCAGGCCACCTAAATCCTTATCACTATTGCTTTGAGCATCTTACGGTTTCTATAGTGAGCTCTATTGACCAATTAGATTTTATTTTTGAGCATACCAGGTATTCTCCTGTAAATTTATTCTCCCACTTGGGAAACCTAATCTCTGTGTGGACTTCTGCTTTTGTGAAGAAATGACTCTGAAAGTTAGTGAAATTTTTTGGAAGCAAGCATTTGATTGATGAGCTCATCTGTGGCTGATAACTTTTTTTGCATGCATAGATCTTACATTTTCAATTCAATGAGTTTTGGCTATTCTATGTATCCTCAAATGAGATGAAGGGCTTCTCCTCACAATAGAGGCTTCTGTGTTCTTTACTGCCAATTCTGCCAATCACCATATCACTTCCCAGAGGCATTCTCTTTGACTTTCAACATCCATAAATTAGTTTTACTTATTCTTGGTCATCATGTAAATGGAATCATATAGTATACATTTTAATTTATGCCATTTTTGTTCAACATAATATTTTTTAGGATTGATCTTTGTTGCTAAGTATAACACTATTATTCTAAATTGCTGAGTAGTATTTCACATTATGAAAATGTATAACTGGTTTATCTATTCTCCTGCCAATGGACATTTAGGTTGTTTCTAGTTTTGCGCCAATGTCTTCCTAATTACCAAATTCCATAGCTTCTTTTTAGCAAAAACCTATTTCTAGCAATGGACACCATTGTGAATCTTTTGTTATCTTTGGTATTTGACTATGAATTCTCTTATCTCTCTGAACACAATCTTCTTATCACAAGCAGTACTAACTCCTTACTTATACTAAATACATATACTTATAGAACATGTATTAAGATACATATTTAGAATTCAGACTAAAGGTATTACTGTTTCTACTGTGCATGAGCATACTGAAGTATCTAATATCATCTTAAAGTAGACTTTGATGACGTGCAATCCTGTCTCCATACCTTCTGCCTGCAGCCCCAGAGCTGCATTTCAAAACACCAAATGCCTCTCACCAATGTGTGGGGTCCTGCAGGTTTTCAGATTCAGATATTAAAACTGAATTCATTGCATTCTTTTCAAAACCTGTCTTTCCTATTTGTTGTCTCATCTTGACTCACAGCATCACCAATGTGCCATGCACAGTAGAAAACAGAGCCAGCCTGCAACTGTCCCTTTGGCTCTATAGTCACCAATCACTAAATCTGGTCAAGCAAATATTTGGTGATATTCTTAAAGCCTTGTTTCTCCTTTGGCCCTAATTCAGTTTCTCCTCATTTTCCATAAGAATCAGGCAACACTTGCCTGAGTGGTTTTACTCTATTTCCAACATTTCACATTGAAACCACGTCTAGTTCTCAACTTTTCACACCACTCACTGAGTAAAAATACAGGATGATTCTCATTTTCAGTCATCAACAATTTACCCACTGACTTCATGATAGAATCAAACAGAATAGGTAATTCTGTATTAGAAGATGGTTATCTGGTCTACCAGTAGTTTCTTGGACTCTGAGGTGACAACTGAGAGACTGTCTTCTTGGCCAGTTCCATACATGTTAATCTCTCTACCTGAATGGTATGTGAAATTTAAAAGAATCCATGTTGCTCTTTTGGCAGCTCTGAGATAGGTTTGTTTAGGAAAGGACTACATGTTGTTTATACAGTTTACTTCTCTAACACACTTTGTGCCCTGTTATGGCTGGGGGCACAAACAAATCATTCTACTTTGTGAAAAAGTTTTTGATTTACTGCATATGCTCATAAAAGGGCTCATTTCTTTTACACTATGCACTTCAATATCTTTTATATTCATGATACCTGGAGAACTTTTGCTCATTATTTTTGAATGCTAGAGACTAGCTAGATTTATCTTCATAGAACTGATCCTTTAATCACACCTGGACTAAAAAAAATCTGGCTTTACCTGAAAGATTACTTCTCTATTTGAAGAAAATGTTCAGGAAACATTATATATACTTTACTATATGTAGTATCTGATAAAGTACTCTATCAATATACAGAGACCTCCTAAACTCAACAATAAGACAAACAACTTGATTTTTTAAATGGGCTAAGTTTATGAAGAGACACTTCTAAAAGAAAATAGACAAATAGCTAATAACCATATAAAAAGATGTTCAAACTTCATTTATCATGGGAGAAATGCAAATTAAAATCATGAGATACTACTATTGCATGCCAGAATGCTCAAGTTAAAAATGTTGATAACACTAAGAGCTCTTAAGGACATCAAAATTCTGAAATTTCCAAAAAGATGAAACCTGTTTAGAGAATCATTTGACAATTTCTTACAAAATTAAACATATTTTAAGCATCTGATCCAGCAACTCCATCTTAGATATTTACTTAAAATCAAAGACATCAGCTGTCCATAAAAATATTTGTACTTTGTATTCATAAAATAGTCAAAAAGCAGAAATAACCCAAATGTCCATCTGCTGATAAATAGTAATAAAAATTGTGGTCTATACTCAACATTTCCAGTCACTAATTATTGACATATGCAACAGCACAGATGACCCGGAGGCATTATGTTGAATCAAAAAAAGCTAGATACAATGAAGATAGGCCATATGCTTCCATTATTGAAAAAAATTTAGAGCAGACTAAACTGTATTAACAGAAAACAGATCAGTGCCTGTCAAATGCTAGCAACAGTTTTTTTTTAAAAAAAACTAATAAAACCATTCTATATCAGGACTGTGCTGGTCACAACTGACCACATACATTT